GAATGGATTCCTATGGATGTTTATATAGGGAATACAATGCGGACTGATGAAACACCCAGAGAAGCAGCGTTAGTTCATCAGCTTCATCTATGGCTCGCAGATCACCCTCCTCTAGAAGAACCAGAAGATAGCTCAAGTGATGACACATATACTGGACCATCTCATAGCCCTCCCTCCTCATCAAGTTACGATTCGGATGGATACCCTTATGATCTTTATCCTGACATAGATTGAGGTCGCACTTATCCTTGAAGCCGTACCAGGTTGAGACCGCAGTTGTCTTTGGAGCCGCAAGACACTGTAGCTCACTATTTTGTCAGCAGAAACTGTAGCTCACAATTTTGTCGGCAGACACTGTAGCTCACTATTTTGTCGTCAGGCACTGTTCATCAGCTTTTCACTGTTCACATCGGGACACCTGGCACTGTTTGTCGGCCACCGACCATTCTAGATCACCTTTTCACTGTACATAAGGCCACCTATCCAGGCTAGTTGTACTTTTTTATTTTTGTTTGGAATCCGCTTTTCATGTCCGGGGTCTATAAATACTCCTTCATGGCAGTTGTAATGGCCAGAGTGCTTCTAGAGCCTCTCAGCCTTAGTTTCTTTCGGTGTGCTTTACTTCTTTACTTCCTACTTTGCTTTCTTCCTTGCTTCTATTGTCCGTTGTAATTTTTCTTTTATGCTGGGAAGATCCTTACTTCCCTTTGTATGATTCTTGTGTGCCCTTTGTATGATTCTGGTGTGCATGGTTAATGTGATCTATGTTTAATGTTATCTTGATCTTGCATGTTTAATACGTGTTTTTGCATAGTTTTTTGCATGGTTGTAGTATGCACATCTACCCTCATCAATGCTGCCATGGCGAATCTTGCAATCTATTTCTTCTTTGTTTCGTGTCCCCCCAGGCTGTGATAAAGATACTCGAGAGAATGCTAAGGAATTTTTTGTGGAGTGGGTCTTAAGACAAGAAGAAATTCCTTCTTATTAGTTGGCAGATAGTTTGTTTACCCAAAAAAGAAGAGGCTTGGGGATTAGAAGACTCGTAGCAGTTAATGATGCTCTTCTCACTAAATGGTAGAGGAGGGCTTCCTCATCACAGGGGCATTTATGGTTGCAAGTTATCATCTCTAAATACGGATGGGACCCCTACTATCTTATTCCAAAGAAGTTGACTATTGGGGGCTCTGCATCTGCCATCTAGAGGGGCATTAACGATGTTAGACTGTTGTTTGTTGCTTATAGTAGGATTGTCGGGGGTAATGGTTTTGATACGCAGCTCTGGTCTTCCAAGTGGCTAGGAGTTTGTCCCTTAAAGATTCAGTTTCCAGAGCTCTTTTTCAAATGCTCTCTTAAAACTGCTAAGATTAGTGATCTAGTATAGTTTCAGGGAGACATGGTTGTTTGGAGTCTGACTTTGAATGCCAAGAGGGTGAACCATGTTGTAGAGCAATAATTTTCTCATCTCTTCACCCAACTTTATGAATTGTGTCTCGCTCCTTTTAGAGGAAACATGGTGATTTGGGAATTGGAACCCCGTGGAGTTTTCTCGGTGAAGTCTATGTACAATTGCTTGTTAGTGGACAGATTTATTCCGACCAATTCTTTTTCCTCTTAAGGTGTGGAAGCGCAAGGCCCCCCCTCCAAGTAAGAGCTTTCCTTTGTCTTCTTAGTTGGGGCTAGATTTTAACTATTGATAAGTTGCGTATCAAGGGAGTTCCCATTGTTAATATTTGCATGCTATGTAAATAGGATGCGCAAAGTGTTTCATATATATTTCTCACTTGTCCTCTTGCTCAGCATGTCTGGGATTGGCTCCTGACTAAATGCAATTGGCACTGGGTGATGTCGTGTCACCTTGACGGTATATTTCAATATGGCTGGTCGCCTCCTTTTTCTAGTTTGGGTTTGTTCTTGTGGCGTTTATGCATGGTGGCAGTTCTTTGGACTATTTGGAAGGAGAGGAATCTTGTTTTTGAAGGAAAAGTGAGAAGTGTACAATTCATTACAACCTCATAAACGATCATCTGGGCCCATCATCTTTCAAGCATTTTCATAAGGAGTATTTGTATACACACCTCAATGAGCTTTGGCCTTGAACAATAGGAAATTCATGAAGGACAACCATTGGTTCCCTCCATATGGGTTGGTTAAGCCGAACTTTGATGGCAGTGTGAGGGAGGATGGATGGGTGGCCAGCTATGGGGGCCTTCTCAGGGACAGTATGGGGAATACTACTTGAACCTACCATGGAAGTTTACACCCGTGCACTGCCAATGAGCAAAACTTTGGGCCCTTTTTCATGAGATCACCAAAATTGAGGATGTTATTCATATTGTAGTTATTGAAGGAGATTTTCTCAACATCTTTAAGTGGCATCGTCAACGTTCTACTACTCCTTGGCAATGGGTTCGCATTCGTGACCGTATTGAACAGTCTCTCCGAGGTAGGGAGGTTCGCTTTGTCCACGTCCATCGGAAGCAAAATGGAGATGATGATGCTCTAGCCAGAAGTGTTGCTGTTTGACTTTTGGGTGGCTTTCCCCACCCATTTCTTCTTCCTCCCTTTCTCTCTTTCTGCTTTCTTCTCTCTTCTGTTGTAACTTTTTCCATTCGTCAATGAAAATCATTGTTAATTGTTCAAAAAAAAGGATAGCTATAAAAGATTTGGTGTCCACTACAAACTATGGTAGTCTTCCACCCTGTTAGAAATCCATGAACTTCTTCATAAGGAAAAGCATGGCGACTCCACCATAGTTGTTGGAGGCAGAAGTGGATCAGTTTGGGGAACGTCGAACCGCCATATGGTGGAAGCTACTTAGGGTTAGGATCTACATCCATACAGTCAATAAATTAAGAAGCGAGATCCTATAATACCTAGGAGCGAGATTCTATGTTAATGGGATCAAGGTTTTGACTTTGAGGGATCTCAATCTAAGTTTTACTATACATAAAATCATATCAGTTAATAGTACATGATATGATTAGGATCGAGTCAATGCCCACTAGATCCACTATCATACACCTTTGTTTATTCTCAATGCACTAGTTATAGTTGAAAGGTGTGACTATATGGAATTAAGATAATAAAAATTCCCTCTTTTTCCTTCTTAATAAAATTGAATTTCACTAACAAGTGCTACAATATATTGTTGTAAATGTAAATTAAAATCCTAAATACAACTTAGGATTTTTTCTTTTATTGTCAAAATAAATAAACACAACTAGGAATAAAATTCGACCTTCCACTATCAATTTAAGTACAAAACATGTTTCTGAAAAATTACAATAAGTATGTAAATATAATTGAAAATTGAATAAACCATAAGGGTTTCTGGCACTAAAACATCAACTTTTGACATCAAATGGATGTGCACCTTGCTTCAAGGTGCCAAACTTGTATAAACCTCGCCCAAAACAAAAACCATATAAGGACAAACAAGTATAAATAAGAGGACAAAATGTAAAGAAGAATTTTAAATATGGATGCCATTTCAATAGAGCCTAGACTCTAAAAAAATAAAGAAAATCCTTACAACAATCGGTGAGCACTTATTTTTATGGGTGAAATAGATGGTCTAGATAATGTATTGCAAAATACGCTATTTTTAGGGTTTAGAAATTCTGATTTTCTTTACAACCACAATAGTCAAGGCCAAGATGATCAATATGAACGTTTTCCAACCCAAAACTTCAATTTTCATGAGTTTTGTGGAGAGGCTTTATAGCCTATCAAAATATTTTCCTTTTGAATATTAATACATTTTCTTGATGCCACCTTGGTCGCTTCCGCCCATTTTCTGTCCTTCGCTAAAAGAGAACGGGGAAGGGAAAGCAATCTTGGGTTGTGGGGTTACAAAGGCTAAAACATATATTTACCCAACAAATTTGTCATAAAAAAAACTTAAATTCAATTATCTTTTACCGAGATTAATTCATGGAAAAGTGAACCCATGCTGATGTTTGTATGGAAAGAAGACTTCATTTTGCTGTTTTGTCTCTAATGTGCCTTTCTCTGAGATCGATTCCTTTTGTAGTTGGGTGGATAAAAATTGGTTCTGCTCCTCGTCTCTGAGGGCCTATCCCTAGAGTTAAGTTAATTTGTTTTCTTGGATCGGTTGCTGATGCCCATATCGTTGTCTCAGAGATTTTCGAGATTCCGAGGCAATGAAAAATGGAGTCCACAGATGATCCCCTCTTTGATTCATCCTTGTGGTTGTGCTTACGTAGGGTTCCAGTGTGTATCCTTGGTCTATGGACACTTCTAAAGGAGTGTCAGTTTATGTGGGAAATTGGTTAATGTTGATTGGGAGGTGTCTTCTTATGAATCTGTATGCATTCAGATTGACAAGAATAAACAGATCTGTCCCACATCTTGGACTCTGCAGGCCGGGAACTTTTCATTTAAACCCCTTCGTTCCTGCTGCTACAAGTTATGGAAGAAGAAATGCTGATGAAACAGGGTATGGAGATCCTACAAGAAGAACCTTTGGTTGTTCCACTGCTTGCTAATGCTGCACACAGTCCTAATGAAGAAGAGGGCAAAGAGGTTGATTGTACGTTTGAACAACATTATTTGGTATGCTAATTCCAAACTTTGGAAGTTCAGATGGGCTATCCACAAAGTTCAAGGGTCTTTTTTTTTTTTTTTGGAATATAAGAATGGTTAGTGGCACAAACCTAGCCATCTGACTTTCGCATCTAATGACAAGACGGGCTTGTGACCTTGTAACAGGTAAACAATCTTATTGTGTTCTTTCCCATTATCTTTCGGAAGATAAACCATAGTATGAATACTTTTGTACGGCATGGAATGAACCTATTACTTTCTTTTTATTGTAAAAACTATTTGGTAAAAAAAGATGAATGATGTTGATAAATCAGTATATGCGGGGTTAAAATACCCATGTAGGCTAAAATGAGAGGGTATTCCAACAAGTTGCCTCTACTTCCTCAACTAGATGTAAATCAAGTTTCAAGCATGTAAATCGATATTTGAGATGAGAAAGTGAGCATGAATCAAAATTTGCACCTCTAGAAAGGTCAAAAAGTAGGTTACATAACTTTTGTTAAGCTCCATTAATCAAAAGAAGGAATACAATCCATGCAAAGATGGACCAATTTCCGTTGGTAGTGCACAAAGTATTCGCAAACTGTGACCACATCTTCATGATCCTGACTAGGCAATAACCAGGACAATGTGGGTGTATTCAAATCATTGAACTCTGACTTGGATGATGCTGCAACCTGTGCACTAATCTCATGGCAAGCCATTAAAAACATGGCAGCAGTGTCAGGCAATTGTGCATTGCGAAGCGCAGCAAGTGCCTCATACAAAGCACCGGCTGCGACATACAAAATCAGCGCCCTGCAGCAGATTATGAACATAGCTTTAGTGGCTTACCAAGTTTGACAATGGTTAGTCTTAAAAACAGCATGGCAATACCTCCAGATGTTGTGTTCACTGTAAAGGACATGATCGGCCCATCTTTGCAACACCCTGTAGAATGATCCAAACAAGTTCTGATACAAACACACTTGAGAAAAAGCAGACCCTCCACTAAAAAAGCACGTGCAATAATTTAAATTTAGACCACATAAACCATGATAAAACAGCATTTGATTTTCAACTTGGCATGCTATAGCGATAAACTTCAGCAGTTAAACCCCGACCTTCCTTCCTTTCTCATGCAAACCAGACATTTTAAACCCCAACCTTTTTTCCTTCCTCATACCCAACCAGAAAGTAAATTTTAATTGAATACTCCAGATATACACAACCTTATGTGTCACACTTATAATCATAAGAACAATAACAATAAAAATTAAACAAACAACTGTCATAAACATTCATATCATAAGCCAGATCATTGGTAGCATGCAGGAGTCTAGGAAAATGGCTCCTTCCTGAGATCCCTCTGCCTCCTCCCCGAACATCGCCCTCCCTCAGCTCTACTCCAGCTACACACCTCATTCGACCCCACAGACCTCTCCCCCCTCTCACCCTAGCACCCCCTCTCGGCCACCCTGCAACCACTCTCCTCCGACAACCGGTACCCAACCTCGTCCACTTCATTCGCTCTCCCTTCCCTTTACGATGGAAATCCTTCAACCTCTCCCTTCTCATTCGTGGCAGACAGGACCCTGCCCTGAAAACCTAACTTTCATCATCCCTGATTGGGTCTTTCCATCCTCGGCGGGATGATGTCCGCGGCAATGAAAATGGGGCCAAAATCTTTGGGTATTCCAGAGCTTTGCTGCAGAAAACTTACCAAAGGGAGAATCCTCTTCCTCTTTCCTTCGATTCAGTATGCCCTCTCGGCTACCAAGAACAACTCCGCTAGCTTTCGGAGCCTCCCTCTCTTTGTCCCCTTGGTGCCCCAGGATACAACTCAGACAATATGGCTGAGGACCATCCAAATCCCTCTCCATTCTTGGAAACCTAAAACCTTCAACATCATTGCTGGTGCCTGCAGCTCCCTTGTTTTGATTCACTGAAAATCTGTTGAATTCCTCCTCATGGACTCCATCCAGATGCTGGTCGAAGTTCTAGACCCCTCCTCCACCCCCGCATCACTCTGGCTTGAAGTCGACGGCCTGTTACATTGAATTATGGAGGCCTGGCTACCTGCTTCCCCTCTGTCCCCCCACCATCTCCCTTCCCTGGACCATGGTCACCCCAAGCTCCAAGTGAGTGGACTACCGTAGTCCGCAAGCGCAAACTTCCGGTCCATCGCATGGCCTCCATTGCCCCACCTTCATCCACGGCTTCTCCTATCCCTGCTCTTTTCCCCTGTTCCCTCCTCGCCACTTTTTCCCACCTATCTCCTTCCGTAGCTTCCACGTCTCTAACTTTCTCTCCATCAGCAATCAACAGATGTCCCTCAGTCTCTGAATCCCAGCTACCCTATTCTCTCTCCTCTGACCTCCCTCTTCTCTCTCTCCCTCCCTCATCTTTTCTTCAACCACTCCACGTGACACCTTCTCTACCCTTCTGCCACGTACCCACCTTGCCGCCTTCACTGCCGACTCTCTCCCTGCCTTCCCCTCTCCTGTTGCTTCTATCGGCACATCATCCAAGGCTGATCACCCTCCCCCCCACGTACCCATGCCACCTGGGCACATCAAAGCCCTTCATCTTTGCTCCCTTCATCCCAAGGACGCTTGCCAACTGCCATCCATCTTTCCTTTGTCGGGTTCCTCGCCCTGCCCTCCTCCTCTCTCTCTCTCTCTCTCTCTCTCACCCCTTCCTACCCCCATCCCAGTGTACCCATTCTCTCATCCTGCCACCCTTCCATCCTCCTGCAAGTGATGCCCTTGCTATAGTTCCCTGGTCTTCGCCACCACTTCAAGCTTCGCCCAACAGCTCAGCTTCTTTCCCTTCCACCTTTAGACAACGAATTTTGTCGCCCCCCTGAAAGAAATCCAACCCCTTCGACAGTCTTGACGATGCATTTGCATCCCTTGGAGAGGGTTCCATCCCTAACCCTATTTGGCCTAAAGACGGTGGTGGACCAGTTTCTCCCCAACCCCTGCGTCAGTATCTCTACCCAGTGCTGGCAACATCCCCTCTCCTTCTCCCTCTCGAGAGCCTCTATCTCTCTAGACTCCCCTCCCCTATCCCAGTACCCCCCCTTTTGTTCCCCCTTCTTTCTCTACTATCTCTTCAACCCCCACCCTCTCGCCTCCGCCTTCTTTTCTTCTCCCCTTGTCGCCCCCTAATTCCGCCTCCCCATGGGGCTTCTTCCCTTTGCCCCCTTTCCCCGCCCCATCGCTGCAACCCTCTATCCCATGCTCTTTCTCCCTTCCCTTTCTTCTTCACCTTTCCTTTCCTCTAATGCAGCTATCTTCCCCCTCCCCAACCCCAGCGTCCCCCCTGCATTGTCGTTTCCAGAGACACTGCCTTTCCCTCCTTTACCGACTCAGGTGGATTTCACCCACATTTCCCCCACCTTGGAACCCCCTTCCTCTCTCTGGTGAATCCCCCAGCTATGCTCTGGAGTCAGTTGACTCCAATTTGTTGAAGTGATGGATCTCGTTCAAGGTAATGTCACTCAAGTCCTCAAAGTTATGGGCCTCCACTATGATGGCCCCTAGGAAGCTTTTCAAGCCTTTCTCAAGATGAACGCATGATCAATTCCAAGGCCAAAGGCAAGGGCAGCAAAGATATCTCCAACTTGGCGTTTGGCATCAAATTTCCTTCGGCGGCACCACCCATGACCCCTGCCTCTGCGAAACGATCCTCCCTCAAATGCTCATCTAAATGCGTCTCCCCTCTTCTCTCCCCCTCATGTTAATCTTGTCTTGGAACATCCAGCGCCTTGGGCTCTAGTCAAAGCACAATACTATGAGCGATACCTGCATCTGCCACTCCCCGTCCATCTTTGCACTCACGGAAACTAAGTTACCCTCTCCCACACTCCAACTGGTCAGACAAATATGGGGCCATAGATCATGTCAATAAGAATCCCTTCCAACAGTGGGTGCCTTGAGAGGCATCTGGATTATTTGGGACCCCTCCCTTCACTCCCTCTCCCCCTCTCACATTGCACCTTTCTCAATGATCGTCATCCTTTCAAGAATTTCCGACGGCCTTTGTTCATGGCCGTTTATAGTCCCAATTCTGAAAGTCTAAGGAGCCAATTTTGGGCTGAACTTGACCTTGTAGCTGCAATCTCCCCTTCACTGTGGTGTCTCGGAGGGGATTTTAATATTACAAGGTGGTCTTGAACGTAATTCCCCCACTAGAGTGACCCCTGGCATGACCCAATTCTCAGATTTCATTTCCGACACCTCATTTACATCCCTCTTGAAGAAGCCAAGTTCACTTGGTCTAACCACTCTTCTTCTCCTTCCTTTCCAAACTCGATGGGTTCCTGCTTAGCACTGAGAGGGACGCCTTGCTCCCGGGTTCCCATGCTGCCTTCAAAAAACTACCTTTGACCATTGCCCTATCCTACTCAATACACAGCCCATTCCCAGAGATCCTAAACCTTTTAAATTTGAACTTTCGTGGCTTCAAAAACCTAATTTTCTCGAATTGGTTCCTCAATGTGGAATTCTCCCACCCCTAGAGTCTCGGGAAGGGCTGGCTTCTGCCTTCTACGGAAGATTCAGCTTCTAAAATTATCCCTCAAAGGCTGGTCCAAGCAACTCCCTAGCCATTCCAATCCCACAAAGCATCCATCCTATGGTTGATCCAAGAGTGGGATTTACTCAAAGAACAGAAAACCCTTACCGACACCAAGAGACAACAGAGAGTACAAATAAAAATTGACTTCAAATCTCTCCTTTAACAAGAAGATATCTACTGATAATAATGCTCGAGTCAGGTGGCTCAAACTAGGGAATCTCAACCAGGCATTTTTCCACAAACTAGGCAACTATAGGAGGTGAGATAACTCCATCACTCCCATTAGGGTGGATAATGCCTTCCTCGATCAACCAGTGGAGGTGGAAGAGACAATTCTCAACATTGTCAAACAACTCTTCACTGCCCCCTCTGGTCCCAAACCGTCCATGGGGACCTTACCTTTCTCACCCTCCTTGCTGAGAAGGCCTCTTGGCTAGAATGCCTGTAATCGGAGCAAGAGATCCTCAAGGCCATCCATGACTTAGGCCGAGATCGAGCCCCGGGCCCGACGGTTTTCCCATGGCTTTCTACAATTCATTCTGGACCTCCCTTCATTCCGACCTTCTAACTTTCTTCAAGGAATTCTCTCTAAAGTCCTTGCTTCACGACCGAGAGAGGTCCTGGGATCTGTTATTTCCCCTCAAAAAGGCACTTTTGTCAAGGATTGCCAAATCCTCGATGGAGCCCTAATAGCCCTGGAATGTATACATTCAAGGAAATTTTCCAAAACCCCTGGCCTGGTCATCAAATTTGATTAGGAGAGGCCCTACGATCACGTCGACTGGGCTATCCTCAACGAAACTCTCACCCGTATGGGCTTCAGCAGCCAATGAAGAAATTGGGTGCATGGCTGCATTTCCAACCCTCATTTCTCGATCCACATTAACGGATCTCCCAAAGGCTACTTCCCTTCCTCGAGGGGGCTTCGTCGAGGTGATCTTCTCTCCCCCTTCTTTTTTGCCATTGTGGTTGAAGTTTTCAGCCATTCCATCCACAAATTCTTCCAATCAGGTTTATTGCATGCATTCAAGAATGGACCCCAAGGACCCACCATTAGCAACCTTCAATAAGCAAACGACATATTAGTTTTTTGCAAGCTGGGCATGATCGATATCTATGCACCAGCTTGAGAGGGAGTGTTGGAAATAAAAGGAATAAGATTTATTATATTTGATGGACAGAACTGTCATTTATCTTTTGTTTTGTTCTTATTTATCTTATTCACTAAATAAGGGTAGTATTGTCCATAATTTGTAATTAAGGTTATTACTTAATGTTATAAGAAGGGTAGAGGCCACAAGTGACATCCATGCCACTCTCTTTCCCTCTCTATCTCTCTCTCACACATCTCTCTCTCTCTCTCCCTTGTTCTTCATCTTTATTTCCTTTCCTCTCTTTCTCTCTGTAGATCCAACCAAATTGTTTTCTTCTCTACTTTAATTTCAACTTAGAACGGCTACTCTTTGTTTTTCTGTATAAATGGTGTTTAGACAGTATACTTAGTACATGTATGGGGCCCTCATCCTGTGGGTTGCCATACCACATATTTGTACTAATCAAATTTTTAATACAATCAGTGATTTATCTCAGAATGCATAAGTAAAAAGGCTGTGAGCCCCAAATACCGACACAGGAAGATAAGCAATCTGAACTAAGGCAAGAAAAACATCAGCATTAAGATTAACAGAGCCAAGAAAATGAGCTAGAGGCTTGGAATCAAACCCCATATGTTCTTTTCATAAAAATATTCTTCAACCATAAAAAATGAAAGCTCTAAAACTACACACGTAGGAATCACAACATACAAAACCGTTCCTATAGAGAAGAGAACCTCAAATAGCTTCGTCAAGGAAACCAAAAAGTAACTCAAAATTTTTTCCTAGAAATCCAAGACTCCCAAATGAACTTCCTACAATACCCCAAACCATAAGGGGGAAATATTCTAAAGTGAACCTACTCAATATTGCATGTGATGTCTTTGTTCTGTCACAAGTGCACTAAATGGGATCAACTATTTCATCTTAAGGAATGAATAAATATTTGTTCATTCATAGACAAATTACCATCCCTGCCATTGAATTGGTCTTCAATAAACTATCTCCTTGCTCAGCTTAACTGTTTAATAAGCCCCACGAGGAAGGTTCAGCCATACATAATGATCTTTCCATAAATCACCGATCGAAACATTTGTATAAAATCTCTTTTGGGAAAAGAGAGCATTTGGCAAATATCAATCATGCTTGCATTTTCATGCTGTGTAAATTTCTACTTACCTTTTTTTTGTTTTTTAAAATAAGTTTCAAATTAGGTTTCACAACAATTTTCCGACAAATTCGAGTTGGAAACATCCTCAAAGAGTAGAAAAATAAGTTGAATATGACTCCATTTATACTACAAATGGCCAGATCAAAATTAGTATGAAATAAGGAGTTAAGGACCCAAGGCAGATGTTTCAAAGCTACCATTCACTAAGAGGGGAAAAATACCTTGCGAAATCAGATCCTTGTAAATGGGTTGCTGCTAAAGTTGCGGCATCTGTCCAACATCCTGCATCTTGTAGCTGCAACATTGAGAAAAATTGACGAAGTCTTAAATAATCTTCCAAAATTAAATAAAACTATGTATAGTATTCATTAAAAAAACCACCATGAAGATGATTAGGGGCTAAAGCTGACATGGGCAGAAAGGGATGGTCTGGTTTCTTTTGCTTCATACTTTAACCAATATTTCAGTCAGTCATTGATGTCTTATTTGTATGGTTATTCAATATTTATTAGCTATATGTGTTGGGTTTTGTGGCCTTTAAAAGGCCTAGAGAGCTTGTAAATATGATATTTATAGTGAAAATGTACTTCAATGGGAGTACGTGTGTTGACTGACCAAGGGTTGGATAGTTTATGACCCCTGGTCATGTCCAAAACCCTTACCCCTGGGCGTGTAGCACTACCAAGAAGCGTTTACAGTGCGTCATCCCTTGTTGAGGTCGGAGAGATGCCTACGGATGATGTTTGTAGGCCAGAAGAACTGTGAGGTCTCTTGTGTACGGTTGTAGGCCTGTGAGTGCAAGGGTCAAAGCCTCAACAAACTTATGTGCGGCATGTATACATAACAGCCGCATTACTGGGAAGCATCCCTACAGAGGGACAAGTGTACCTGTGCATAGAGAGAGCCACCTTTATATTGTAGTGACTAGTGCAAGACTTGCTCTTGAAGTGGGGAACTGAAATCCACATTCCAAAATTATGATTCCATTGTTTATTGTCCAACTTCGACAAGTCAATCATGACCACTTGCTTTGAGACTGTAGGTCATAGGTCTCTATTGGGTTGGATAAAAAAACAGTAGTGGACTATGGTTCTTGGCCAAGTGGAGTGCCCTTATTGTCACTAATTTGGACCCATTAGTACCAATCCACTCCTAGTATATTTTGGTATTATAAATGTTTTTATAATATTTAAATATTTTTCAGAATTTTCAATATTTCAGCTGTAATATTCATCAAAAGAGTATTTTTAAAATTTTCAGAACTTAAAATAACACATGTGAGACCCAGGATCTAGCCCCACAAGTGTGTGTGTTTGTTTATGTGTGGGGACCATGTGCCACCCCTAGTATGCCATGCCCAATTTATTATAAACAAAAAGTAGCACGCCACTTTTTTAATAAAACGGGTGCATGCCCCATCCTTTTTTTATTCTTGTTAAAATTTAAAACTTAAAATTAGTTAGGATAAAAAATCTCTTTAATTTAACTTAGATATGGTTTCTTATCCTATGGGAGTTTTAAAACATAGATTATTCTTAATTATGGGAGATCTAAATTATGATAAAGCTCGATTGTATTTCAAATTTGAATACGAGTTGGATTTAGGTCACAGTCTAAGGGGATAAGGTTCTTATTTTCCACTAAAAATCATGCTGGTTGATTTGTGAGATGGATGCTCTGATTAAATTTCTCACCCCACAAATTTCCTAATTATCCTAAAGGTCAAGCTGGAATTAGATAAGGCATACGTAGATTGGAATCCAATTCAAAGTAGGACTTTAATCTTGTTTCTATTTAAACAAGATTTGAGCCCCCCCCCTCAACACAATAAGAATATCTCTCTCTCTTATGCCACCCTCTCTTCTATTCTCTTTCAGGCCACCCTCTCTCCTATTTTTTATCATGTCACCTCTCTCCTTATATTTTCTATCATGCCACCATCTCTCTCTCTTGTTCTATCAAAAAAAAAAGAGGAAGAAAGATGGGACTTTCAAAACCTTAAGTGAAGCTTGCTGTATTTTGAAAAGAAGGGTGACAACCAACCTAAAGAGAGATCAACTCATAAGCTCAGCTCCTAGTTTGTTCACATAGGGTTTCTACAAACCCTAGTTGATTTTTGTGATCTCTAAAATACTAGAAAAATAAGTATTGCCTATAAAGCTTCCCTATCTCAGAATTTTCAACAACACAACTAAAGGAGTTAAAGTGTGCCATCGATTAGGGAATCGGATGTGGGGATGTGGGAGGATAACTCCAAGCATCTTCCACTAAGTCTTCCAATAGTTTTAATTAATTTTTAGTATTATTTCTTATTTTCTATGCATTTCCAGGAACATGTATTGTACTAAAAAATTGTAGTGGAAGTTTGTTTAAAACTCCTGGATAGTTTCTATTTCTTTAGGCAGTGAAAATAAAGATCCTAGGTTGCATCTAGGATTTATTTTAATTTACAGCAACATATAGTGGCCCATGTAAGTGAAATTCAGGTATATTGAATAAAAGAAAAAGAAAATTTTTGAATTTAATATTTGTTAATTCGACATAACCACTCCTTTCAATGTGCACATAAAGGAAACCCAAACTAATTGAAATTTGTACAAACAAGTTGCAAGTAGCAAACATGGCACACTAGTTCAAAAGCCTTGTAGCAAACCTGGGAACAAGCTTCTTGATACCTCCCAACAGCACAGAGAAGATGGACTCCAGACAGTGATTTGTCTGTCCTCACCATATTTGCTGCCACAACCTAGGACATAAGAAAAGTGATAAGTAAAGCAGGAGCATAAATGACTGCAGGAAAGTCTACAAACAGCCAATTACACTAATATTTATATTTACCTTAACTGCAAGCTCATGTAGAGACCTTGAGACAGCAGAGGAAAGTGCAACTGCACGTAGAGCATTCACATAAAAATGGGACCCCTCTGGAGGGGTGGAAAGTAACAATGTCACAGCAGCTTCAAGATTTCCAACAGATACAAGCCTGAGATAAGCAAGTTATAACATCAGAACAACATAAAAGAAACATTATTTCCAAAAAGTAAATATTGACTAACATGGTCCATCTTGAGAATGGAAGGTGGATGCTCCTCCATGGATAGTATCTCATACTGCATATGGAATACTTTCCCATCAAAAGGTAGCCATTACACTAAAACATCCAGTATATTTGATAAGAGACTTAACGACACAGAGTAATATTCAGAAAATGAGCAAAAACTTTCAAAATAAAACTTACTCATGGACACGCTTCTGAATTGCATCTTCTCCATCTAACTTTTCATGCCAACGTATGCGCTCGATAGACTCAGAATGTAGTTCTTCTTGCTCAAAGGCCATCACCTTGAATTGGCTGTGACCCTGAAAAGTAGGAAATCCAATCCAAATAGTGTGGACCACTAAGACAACAAAACCATATACACAAGAAATTCAACGAACACATATCATTCTCTAAAACAGTTACAACAAATCAATTCAATGTTAACCAAGTCAAAGAGTTCGTCTCCAAATAAGGTGTTTTACCAGTTTCTCATTCTTCCCCCTTCCTAACAAAGACTTTTCCATTGATCCCATTTTAGATAATAAAATTGCGTCACCAAGTTCTGGAGTTGATCTTGCGGATGCCATTTCTGCTTTTTGAGGAGATTTCTTCACAGATTTATTCAATAAAATTAAAAGAGCACGTGGGAGCTGTAACCAGAAAAAGGCCTCTGAGGAATCTCCAAAGAGAGCAGCAGCAAAAGCAAATCTAAATGCCGATCCCTTGTGTGCTAAAGTAGCATATAATGATGCTCTCTCATTGTCAAGGAGGCAGCCTTATGTCAAAAAACAATTTTCGCAATAATCAACAGTCACATTCACAGACTTCTTCAAGGATACATAAAGGACAGAACCTCCAGAGAAAATATATATGCGATTCACTTAGAAAAAAGAGATCAATAAATTACCTTCCCTTCGATATGGTTCTAACACTTTAAGAAGCATTTCCGGTACCACAGAATCACCGATTGGCAGAACATTCGATTCAATCATAAAACCCCGAAGGTCTCTTTCGGATGTTAAAGACATTTCAGGGATTCGGTTAAGAGTTGTATCCAGTGGAGTACTGCACATATCAAACCATGAGGGTTTCACACCTAATTGCAAGGCCATCCTCAGTGCCTGCAACAAATACAATATAATAATATAATGAAAGTATCTCAATTGAAAGAGCTGAGACCTACACTGGTCCAAAGTTATTCCCTTGATACCGTCAGAAAAAAAGATACAAGTTCAATACCAAAAACTAAGAAAACACGTGATGTTTATCAAATAAGCCTAGGAAACACATGTACAACAAATTTAATGAGATCAGGTTTGCAAGATTCAAAACTGCAGTGAATAATTCACGTGACGTCCCTTCCATCTCAAGGATAAAATTTAAGTTACACTATCCGCATGACTTTGGGCTACTAAAGATCAAGCTAAAAATAGAGGCATAATAGTACTAACATCTATTTGGAGCATAGTTGTTGAAGACGGGAGAGCGGGATCGGTTAGGGATCGCCAATCTCCCTATTGCGGAAGTTCCCTGGGTTTGGAATCGGCATCCGTACAATTAACAAGGGAACAAGATCCTTAGGTTTATGTGAGCGAGATCGCATATCAATGGGTTCGAGGTTTTGACTGGTAAGAATCTAAGCTCCACTACACATTAAATGAAGTTGTCAAGTAGAGCTAGTACGGGTTCCCTTGGTTAAGGGATCAAGGTTTCCAATTGTCATATAACGGGGTTCCTCTTGTTCTAATATCGAGATTCTTCAAGTATAAGAATCAAGGTCCTCAGTTGATTGGCCTCAAGGTCCGCAACTACCATTGGTTAAGGGAACAAGTCCAATATCTATGCTATCCTCTAGTTAAATAAATCTATAGTGCCCCATTTCTATACATCACATGCTTACATGATACTTGATAAATGCTAAATACTACTGAACACTTGACTGTATATATCCTTAGTCCATGCTCCAAAATCCAATATGTACATATGAGCATATGACAACCTCTAATTAAATAAATCCATAGTGCCCTATTTCTAGGCATACATGCTACTTGATGCATACATGCTACTTGATGAAATATTAAATTCTTTTAGGCACATTACTATATAGTATGTGGTCCATAGTCTAAAATGTAATATGTATGACATTCTATGTTTGAATAAGTGCATCAAACCATATTTTTATGCAACACATGCCTTTATGCTTGATAAATCTAAAGAGTATGGATTATTTTGCTACTTAGTCTGTGGTCCTTAGTCCAAAATCTAATGTGTATGACATACACTATTTAATTAAAAGCATATTACTAAAATTTGATACATCAGGTGCCTATATACTACTTGATAAATGCTGAACGTATAGATCATTCTATTAAATAGTCCATAGTATACTTGTGTACTCCATTCTTCTTATATATACTCCAAATCCCATTAGAGGTATAACTTTCATAACATTGTCCCTCGGACCACCAAGATATTCCTTACACATAAATCCAAAAAATAATCTACAAGTACACAAATTTGACTTTTTCTATTATTTTAATCAACTAATACTTAGATCACCAACACGTAGCCCACCCCCCCACCTTCCCTCTTCCCCGCTCAATTCCCTCTCCCTCTATATTAACATTTGGACCCAAAACCCGCCCACACAGCTCCTTCGCCATTAGCTTGTGGTGATCATTCTAGTGAATCTGGTCACCCCTCCCAACTCTCCCACGCTACAGGTATGTGTGCTTGTGCTCTTTCCCTATATATTTCTGTGACTCTTGTGTGTGCATAAGAGAGAGAGAGAGAGTTGAGTATGTGTGTGTGCAGTAGAGAGAGAAGTTTGTGTGTGTGCAGTAGAGAGAGTTGTGTGTGTGTGCACGTAATAGAGAGAGAGTTGTGTGTGTGCGTAGTAGAGAGAGAGTTGTGTGAATCCAACTTTATATTGTACCAAAACCTTGGACCATGTTTGATGGGAGAGGGAATCTATTTCGAAATAGTACTGGAATCCACTAATGGTTGGAACGTGATCCCCTTTATTTGGGAGCGAGATCCCAAAATTGAAAAACAGGGTCCCTACGAGATCCCTATTAGAAACGTGGGATCAAGGTTCCGGAGCAGGAACGCCACCCCTACCCCCACAGCTCCCTTAACTATGATTTGGAGACAATTGATAAAATTAAGTACTAATCAAAAGCTTAGCAAGTTACCATAGCATGTGGTGGAGGCAGCAGAACCGCTGAGCATAGCGGCATTGGACGAAATATCTCTTTACTAACCTTTGGCTTGGAAAGCAAAGTTGATTTTGCATCATGTCTGTATCACAGAAAATAAACAAAACAAAAACGCAAATTGAGTAAAAATCTACATGTCAGAATTGAACTTGGAAAATTATGTGATTACCATTAATACTGTAGGTGACCAAAAACACTTATTTCATGTCAAGACTCTAGATCAAGTAAACACAAAAATGGTATCCTCAAGTGCATCACAGGAGGGAAAAACTATGTAGTTTTGCCTTTTCCATCATGGCACCAATGCACATCTTTGAAGGTAATGAACAGCTCAAATACAAATTACACATGAAATAGTTAATTTCCAAAACAGACAATGCTCAAATATCCACATCTTTGTTTTGATGGATAACTTTGATCAAAATTATGACATGCAACTTTGATCAAAATTGACTTACAAGTATAAGCCCCAAGGTAATTTTTTGGTACTCCCTCTTTTGCAAGAGCGCCGGCTACCTCATTTGCCTTCCACTATGAGTGCAAAAGGAGACCTCTATGTTACTTGCTAATTTAAAAATTTCTGCAAACACATGGTGCAGCCTCGATGGGCCATCTGTCTTCCAACTCACCCAAGAAGTGACCTTAGCAAAGTCCCCTTGAATAATAACCTGAGACCTGTGAGGAGAAGTCTCCCCTCTGCCTCACTTCGATCGCACTACGAAGGGGGCTGTGTAGACAATCATCCAGGGTGCAGCCTCCAATGGCCTTCTTGGTGGCCCACTCCTTCAACCAACTGTTCAACAGTGACATCCTGATTAGAGGTCAATAGATACGACTGTGGTATCTATCCTTTAATACTCCATCCACCCAACCATGTGTCCGTCCAAAACCTCATCCTGCTGCCATCCCCTACCTGAAATCTGATATTGGATTGAATCTCATAATAGGTTCGATTGAGATGGTGGGAGGCTGAGTCCCACCAATTATGTTATTAATGCAACAACCCACTCTACTACCAACATTGTCCGACCAATTGATGGAATGGTTGCAACCCCTTTTATCATGACAACATGGATCACAATAAATCCCAAGAATAGAACACAATTCTGACCATGACTGTGAAGAAAACATGGGCAATATGCCAAACCACGAAGGTAGGTTGATTGATACCCATAAATTGAAGCTCTTATGTAGCTCTGCATTTCTATTTCCGATCATTCAATGAAATTAACCATTTATTGGAATAAAAAAGAGTTTTGATCAACACGTTGTCTAAGATAGCGTATGCAAATCAGTATTCAAAGGAAAGTCATTGATTTTGAACTTCAAAGAGGACATATGCTCAAAGATTCACTATGGTCATTCAATAATGTGAAAAAACATATTCTTGCGGCAAAAAAAAATAATATATATATATATATATATATATCATCCGAGCCTTATCCCAATTATTTGTGGTTGGCTACAAAAATATTGTTCTATCATTCCACTCTATCAAGGGTCATACCCTCAGTCAGACCATAAGTCAACATATCTCTTCTCACTTTTTCTATCCATGTCCTGCTGAGCCTTCCCCTTACCCTTTAGAACCTTCCACTTGAACCAAATCGTCTCCCCTAATCAGTGTTGTTCTAGATCAATATTGCACATAGCCAGCCACCTAAGTCCACTTTCCCTTATCTTATCGCCTATTGGAGCCACCTCTAAGTTCCCTCTTATGTATTCATTTGAATTCTATCATTTCTTGTCTTGCCACGCATCTATCTCAACATCAGCATCTCAACTAGAATCATTTTATGGATATGTTGTTTCTGACTAATAAATATTGCATCCCATAAAGCATGGTCGGTCTTGTAGCTATCCTATAAATCTTTCCCTTCAGTTTCATTGGTATGTGATGATCGCATAAAACTCCTGAAGAACATCGTCACTTTGCCCACCCAACTCTAACTCCGTGTATTTAGACAATGTACAACATCACAACCTTACTTCTACAAGTAAGGTTACAACCTTATGTAAACTTTTCCTCGTATGTGTGTGTGTGTAGAGAGAGAGTGTGTTTGTGAGATCTTATGAGCCAGACCACATAGTTGATGGAATAGTATAAGCTCAACAACAATGACTGAAAAAGATTTAATAATCCTAAAATTAAAGGGCAACATTGCATGTAAGAAATATTCTAATGGAAAATAAAGGAGTCCGATTGACCACAAAATTTGCACACGTGCGCGTCATTCGGGCACTCTACATAAAAATAAAAAAATGGATACGCTCAAAAAAAAATGATGGCCAAGATGTGTTAGCCACTCTCGGCCATCCAGATTGCCCTCTCACCTTCAACTTGGGTTGTCTGGCCTTTGCTATGGTATAAGCTCTTTGGTTTATATATATATATATGGGTGTGGTTTCTATAAGATTGTAACCTTAAACAATCCAATTAAGGCTCCAAATTTTATCGTAACATGTAATTTTGGTGTAAAAAATTCTAAACAATATCTCAAAATCTATTTTCATATCTAATTATAAAATGTTAACTCCAAAAATGGTTAAAATCAAGTCGATTTATGAACATATGAAAATCTTGAAAATGGACGGCCTAGATAATGTGTTGAAAGATGCACTATTTCTAGGACTCAAAATATTTGTCTTTTTTATATTCATACATCTCGATGTCGAGATGATCAATTAGAGGGTTTGTCAACATTAAAACAACCTTTTCCGATGGATTTTGGAGATGCATCTTTAATTCTATATTTTAAGGTTGCAACCTTATAAAACTTTTCCCGATATATATATATATATATATAGATATGGAAGATACTACAAAACGCCTATCGACGAAAATGAACAATGATTTCACCTACCCTCATCACCGTCCAAAGTTCATCACACGGTCACGATTGTCCGATAGTGTTTTATTTTTCATTTTTTTTCTACAAATCGGAATGATCTGAAATTTGAAGCTTGTGTTCATCAAAAACAGGCGAATCTACGAAAAATATCAAAAAAATATTTTACATAAAATAAATTGACCAAAACACCCCCAAAATATATATATATATGAGGATTGGTATCATATCACCGTGTAACTATAATATAATGAAACCACACTGCTATAGTGTATTTTTTCACCCTTGTATCCCCGGTGCGAATAAGGAGGAAGCCAGTTGCGACCTAGGCCTACAGGTACCAAAATACCTGCAGACTACTGAAAGCACTGATTGAATAAACCCTGATTATTGAGTAAATTTTGAAAGGTGTCGAATTGGTCTCAAAACGCATGTGGGGGTGGCATTTGACTCCCTAAGAACACCGGTCAAGTTTCGTAGCGATATGACAAAGCTAAAGCAGATCAGACGAAAAATCAATTTTCAAATTCAACTCTTAGCATGCTGAAAAAGTGCCTCATAACTACAACCCTATTATCGAGGTCTCAGATGAACACCAGACTACTTCTATTGGATTCAGAAGGTCCCTAAACCCCCAGATATCAAATTTCAGCTCATTCGAGCACTTCTAGACCATTCTAGGCCAACTTACCCAAAAATGGTAGGTTTTACACTATTCTGATGCACCCTAGGTGAACCAGGTTCCATTTATGGAAATTGTGCCTTATAAACTCGAGATCATCTTCCAAGGGTTATAACTTCTCCATTTTAAGCCAATCAAGCTCAAATTTCAAGGGGTTCTTCATCTCCTCAACGCGCATGTTTTGATATATGGCACAACCCATGACAAGGCCCGAAATGGAAAAAATCCTAGAGAGAAGTTGCATAAGAAAACTCATGTGTCGTAGAGTTTTTAAAGTAGGAGACCCTTTTGATCAAGTGGTCATATCATAAAGCCCCGACCTCGGATCGTCTTGCAAACGGGTCCATCGTGACCATCACATCGAGGGCTTCGATTTGAGGTAAAAATCACATGTGATGCAAGACCGAAGACACCGCATTTTGAGGTTAGAAAAGAGGACATTTTTCAGCAAGTGGAATCCGTATTTTGGCAACTTCCCCAATTCGAAAAGTGACAGAGACAATCCAGCAACCAAATCAAGCAATTTTCATCACGAAATGATCGTCAAGGCTTCCCGTCAATTTGTGATGAAAAGATCGACCCAAAACATCAAGGAACGGACAAGATCGAGCATTAAAGATTTCAATTTCATCATCTTTTGCCAGATTTTTAAAGGGGTTCAAAACCCCGATTCAAGGATCAAATTATATGTCAAAATAATCATCTCATCGAGATTGTCACTTCTACGGCATTATTTTTGTAGGAAGTGCTCGAAAGAGGCCCCAAATGATCACCGTTATGAAGCATTTTTGGGGACTATCCAGTCATTTCCATGATTCTGCGTGGGGGCCTCATAAACGGGATTCAATTTAAATTCAAGAAAATTGTAATTTTTGATAATTTGGTTTGCTTTTAGCCATCCACCCTTGTTTCAAGGGGATGATATATAAGCACCTTATGCTCATTTGTAACCCTGAGTTCAAAGTGTTGGAAAAATTAATGAGATGCATTAAGCTTCCCCCTTAGTTTGTGATTTTTTACTCTTTCTTCACCCCAAAGAAATGAGAGAGAAAACTTTTACCTATTGAGGATTACCCCTAGAACCCTCCACATCCAACCAAGAACTCCTCCACTTCCAACCAAGAATCCTTCACTTCCAATCTAGGACCCTTCACTTCCAGCCCAGAACCCTTCACACCCATCCTAGAACCCTTCACTCCCATACACCCTAGTCCCAACTTCCATAGCCCCAACTTCCATAGTCCCTACTCCCATACACCCTAGTCCCAACTTCCATAGTCCCTACTCCCATACACCCTAGTCTCATCTTCCATAGTCCCTACTTCCATGCACCTTAGGCCAACCTTCTATAGTCCATAATCCATAAACTCTAACCCTACACCTTCACCTCTACATATTTGTTGCCTACCTAACACAACCCACCTCCTTTACCTGTATTTGGAACGGGTTAAGGGAAAGTTTAATGTCATCACCCTTTTTAGACCAAAATATAAAATTTAACAAAAAAAATGACCAAATTATCCCTATAAATATTTCAAGGTTATTGTCATCACTTTATTTTTTGATAATTATTTTTTAATATTTCATTTAGGTGCGAGTTGGTTAAACGTACGCACGACATACATTTCAGATGAATCTCATTTATAGAAAATTTATTAAACACTATCAAACAACCATGACCCTATGATGGACTATTGGATGGTGATGAACCATGAGTAAAATACTGTAGAAATTTAGCCATAAGTAGTTGTAACTCACTCTCTCTCTGTACATATATGTAAATATAAATATATAGAGAGAGAGAGAGGGTTTGGGGGGGGGGGGAAGAGAGATAACATAACTGAGAATGAAGTTTCATACATACATATTAACCTCAACAAGGCGGAAACTACTATCTGCCCCTGCAATGCATAGCATCAGCGGTTCACTTCTATCAGTTCGCAAAGGCAACCAGTCAAGCTCCAATACAAGGGTACCAGCAAATTGTGGTTGTAAAAGAGCATTGGCCAATGGATCTGGTGTATCCTGAAAGTGAAGCACAATCAAAACTTAGAGAAAAATTGAAGTATTGAAGTTTTTATTATTTACTGGATGCATAACCTACAAATCAAACTGACACATTCATGCAATAAAGTATTGAAGTTTTCATTTACTGGATGAATAACCCACGAATCAAACTGACACACTGATGCAACAGTACTCATGCCCTACCCACTTACATCCCCAAAAGAAGATGAAGGAAACTTGCATGTTTCAATAATCAATACATAAAAAGTTTTCATGTTTTGAAGATAAATTAAAGTTTCCACCATACCTGGATTCATAGATGATCTTGAGCACAAAGGGAAAAGGAAGATTCATATTGAAAAGGGCAATTATGCTGAGTTAATGAAAAAATTGCATGTTCAGATTCCAGACAACTAATAAATAGCCATTCAGAAGGAAGATGCAGTTCTAGGAGTCAAATAACAGCCGCAACACCTGTAAGAAGATTATTTTGGAGCATATCTCATGAGTTTGACTGCCCACCTCTTGATTTATTTAATCTTTGATCTCTAATACAGACCTTTTGCTTTATCACTCCCCACTTCATGTGCCTCATCAATGATATGTATCCACATGGGATTTATATGGCGGGGACAAGCAGACTCACATATTCATGGAGATGCCGTCATTTTCAGCATTTTTGCCAAGATTTAGAGGCATGGTTCCTACTGTGTGTAAGGGATATGTCAAAAAGAATGGTGTTTCAAAAATTTGAAAATGTTATTTGGAACAGATAAGATTTATCAACAATAGTTACATGATTCTTTGCTGGGTGTAATAAACTCAAGCAAATGTATTTACAGGATTCACTGGAATGTCTATAAATATAGGACACAATCTTGGTGAGCCCTATGACTCATGTAGAAATGAGTCCCCTCTTAAAATTCCATTTTTGTGATGGATCCTCGATCTAATTTTTTAGAAATCTATGATCTCTAACATGGAGATCATTTATATGTAAAAATAAATAAATTTAAACAAAATAATTTTATGAAGAAAATATTTAGACCATTACTTTTATTTTATTTTATTTTTTTAGAGACCACCCATTTGCGTCCATCTTTAAGATGGATGTTATATACCTTGGGGTATGCAAGTAGTGTAGGACTGCATCCCCTAACGCATACAATAATTTTCTTTAATTACATCAATAAACAGCACAGAGTGAATCATATATTAGTATAATGGACCATAAATTGAGTTGGACGTTATAATAGGGTATTGAAGAAATCTTTTTTTTTTCTTTGTTCTAGATCGTAGTGTGAAATTTGAAGCCAAAGCTTAGTTTGAGAAGAACGATGCATGCTCCTAAAAACAGTGCTTTGCATCTGAATACTCATTGAAAATGAAACTTATATTCTCCTTGTCATATAAATGCAATTTTTATTTTAAGTGTATAAAAAATGAACTTTAACTTTCCAACTTACAAGATCAAATATTGAAAACGTATTGTCATAAAAAAGAACAGCAACACGCCCTCGGCTGTGGTCGCTAGCAACAACAGGAGAAAATTTGATTCGTCTGATTCCTTCTCTATGTGTATTGAATGAGGAAGAAAGTCCAGTAGTTACATCCCACCATCGTATGTTACCCGACCTATCCCCCAAAACCTGAAAAGATTCATAAATAATACATTTTATTATGGCATGGAATAATATGAGCTCAAGGAACACTTGACTCAAAATTTATGAAATATAGAGAGTCAATACTTAAGAATCCAGAACATACAACATGGGGAAGGCGATACGCCATTGCAGAGACCAATCCATCTGACGAAACAAAAGAAGACGATGGCCACTTCGGTCTAAACAACACAACTATTCCAAGTAAGCCTAACAGAAGATAAGATAATACTCACAAGCAGCTCAACTTCAATAAATAACTAATATAACAGCATCAACTTGACAATATTGACTGCATAGGATTTCTTATCCATACGTGATGCAAAAAACACAAATACACAAGGATGAAAGAATCAACATCATGTACTCAAGAAATGATCCTTTGTTTCACAAACATAATGCAACCAAACCTTAAATCTATGTACGCATATGTCTATGAACAAATACAAGCCCTTGCAAACACGCACACATGCAAGTCTTCAACCTGTGCAATGCATGTGCACTTTGCAAAATCTCGGGTCGCGGGGGAGGCGTGCGAGCAGAAGAGAGAGAGAGAGAGAGAGGAGAAGAATACAACTTGACAGCCTCTAGTGTCAGCAAATCAGTGTGGTTGAATCTTAGATATGGACATTGGCAGTACAGTCGATTGTTCCAGATCAGTGCAGTTGAACCTTACACTATCGATAGTGCTGTAATTTTCTAATTTTCCATTTTTACTTAAGCTTTCTCACTCCCTTATGGACTCAAAAGTCATTCTCAATTTTTAAGGGCATTTCTTTTGATGTATGCATGTGTATTTTCTGTAAAAGGGTTTCTTTGCACATGTGGATATACAGGTGTACTTTGGTTTTCCTCTTTACAGTGTTTCATCACGGAAATGACAGCGTATTCTGCCCAATGCAGCCAACTTGGGGCTTCTCCGACCACAAAAAACCCTTTGAAGTGCAGAGACACCCAACACATTTCCAAACTTCCATGAAATCAGTTTCCTCTATGTTTGATTTAATCTGGAGTTCCAAAAAGCCACAAAACCTCCTTTATCTATCACTCATTGAAATCAAGGACCCAGATTTGAATTTAGGGTTGGGGTGGAAGCATTTTCAGAGCTCCACATACTCACTTTTCATGAAAATGTTTTTAGGGTGTGAAAGAATGATTTGGAAATTTTTTGTCCCCGGGACACCTTAAAATTGGTTTTTGTAGTGGTTGGAGCACCAAATTTGGTGTCCCAGTCTCAGTAACATTCTATCATTTCCTTCAAATTATTCCATTAATAAAATAGGATTTTCACATTCTCACATGGAAAAAGGTTCTTTGGCTAGGGCAGTGAAACCACAATGTAATACCAACCCAAAAAACACATTTACCAGAAAAACACATTTCTATCCATGTAAAGGTGCAATCAGAAGGATTATATTTCATACCCCATTTCGGGTCATAAACGCTGAGGAGGAAAACTAGCAAAGCACTGTGCATGCCAATCTCTAGCTCTTCTAGCCGCAAACAGTAACAAAAAACCAGCCAAATCAACTCGTTAGAAGTTCTAGCAGATTCTTATTAATATGGGTTAACATGCCCACGAACACTGTGTTATACTAGTATCAATTCAAACTGATAATCTAATACTAAAGTATGAAACACAATTCTGGCAATGGATCAGTGAACAAAAGAAAGCAAACCTGAAATCACGAATCCTTCGACCAAGAACCTCAAATACTCCAAGAGCACCATTTACCAGTGCAAATGCAAAACTTTCAGATATTTCATCAGCAGGACCTTCTGAACTTGCTACCTCTGCAAAACTAACAATAATTTCAATGCCATAGGATGTTCACAAATATCTAGAAAAATAAAGCCCAAAGAAATTTGAAGATAATGATCTCCAATTTCTATGAATCTCAAGTAAATTATGTCCTTACTAGGCTCTGAAGATGTGGTGGTATTGGCAGCTGCGACTGCAGAAGCAATGGTTGGGCGCTCTTTGTTGCTAAAAGAGGATTGCCTGGAGGGACCTCTCTGAACTGGCTTGGGTGCTGTGGGAAGAGACCATTCCATCACAGTGAATGGAAGTGCCAATGATCTAAGCTACACATGAGAAAAAAATATCAATGAATATCTATCGAGTTCTCAGAAAAACCACACAACTGTGCATGACATTTAAAATGGGTAACTCTACTGACACAAAAACATGAAAATATGCAAATGAATACAACATCGAGAACACAAGGATATTGATGGGCACGAATATCATTGGTTGCTTCCATTCTGAATACTCATCATCATCGATTGCTTCCATTCTGAATACTCATCATCATCGTCAAAGCCTTTTCCCAACTTATTGGAGTCAGCTACACGAATCTTAGTCTGCCATTCTGCTCTATTAAGGGTCATACCCTCAAAGAGGCCATAAGTCCCCATATCTTTTCTCATTACTTCCAACCATGTCATTTTGGACCTACCCCTTGCCCTTGTTTAGCCTTCCACTTGAACTAACTCGCATCTCCTAACAGGTGTTGTACTGGGTCTGCGCCACATGGCCAGCCCACCTAAGTCTATTTTCTCTCATCCTATCGCCTATTAGTGCCACACTAAATTCTCCTGAAAGTATTAAT